TCCACACTGATGTAAACATACTGAAATTTCTCTTCCATGCAGGCAGTCTGGGTGTCATTTTTTAGCTTTAGTGTCCTTTTTACACTGAGCGACTCAACAGCGGCTCAGCCAGGAGTTATACCAACACAAGCCATCGCTCTTAAGTGTTCCTTCACTAGTTTGAATGATGATGTTTGTTTTTTTTCTTCCTACTTTATTATATCACTCATGTCGGGTCAAATTTAGATTCCTTTAGCTTGTGTAAACTTTTCTTAATTGTAAAAAGCTGCTTGTGTACAATAGCAGGAGTCATTATGAGTCGAATAAAACATTTAATTACCACAAAAACATCTGCAAAACTCATATTGGCATGTATGATAGAATCTTACTGGATGGAGATTTCATGTCTGATCCGATGCAACGAGGCTAATGATGGGAATAAATCACATAATTGTGGCTTCAGCAGATCAAAATACACTTGAGACAATTAAAACATATAAAAATACAAGCGCTCTTTGTGCAGTTTGCAGCATCTCTGTATTTGTGATAAACTTCTGATGTGAACGTCTCCCAGCTTCACACCAAATATCCTCATTTAGTCCCAGTTATGTAACATTTCCTGGTTTGCATACGACTACTGATCTTGCATATATTATGGTAGTTATGCATTGAAAGCTGATGCAAGCGACAGGGTGACTGGCGTACACACACACACACATATATAGATTAGCAGGGTTCAGTAAAACCGATGCATTAATTAACTGAAATCACATGAAAATGCAAAAACAAATTAAATGAATTTGTAATTTTTTCTGACTTGTTGTATTTGTGTACATTTAAAAGCACCGTAAAAGAGGGTTATTATATTTATTTCCGTTGCAAAACACCTACTCTAGCATCAGCTAAAGACTTTCTAGGCCACATATTATACTGTATAAGTTAAAAACAGACACAAAATAAAATAAAAATAGACCCACCAAACACAAACAAATTCAAATCATACTTGAAAACCGTTGATGCAGGTTTCTTTATTTGTTTTCTAATAAAAAAAAATGCTGCATTGATATCAGATTCTCTAATCAGCTCTCTTTGATGTATAATTAATTTACATATTTAGTGTTTTGGCGTCAAAAAGGAAGAGCAGAATCAAAGGAAAAGAAGTTTGTGGGACAAGCAACACAAAAAAAACAAGGTTGAGCTTAAATAAAGGCATCAGAGTTTGCATTAGACACACAAAGTGACCATCAGAAGAGTCGATTATGTCACTTTAACACCAACTGAAAAGACAAAACAATGCAAATTAGCGTCGTCTTATGCCTCTAAAACTTCCCACAGCTGCTAAGTTATGATTATATATGTTGATGTTTAAATAGCAGAATTGATAAGACTTCATCTTTTCCCCCCCAAAAAGTGTTCATTAACGATGAATAATCACACAAAGTATAGCAGGGAGGTGGTGGTGGATGGTGATGGGTGGGGTAGGAGGTGGTTGCTGATTGAATTTTTATCAGTCAACATGTCAAATGATGTGTCATCTCTGTTTATCTATCCACTGTCTTGTATGACTTGAGAACAGCCTGCAGCCCAGAGATGTCAGCTGACACAGATAGAATCAATGGCAATCTGCGCTTGAAAATTCTCATTACCGCTGTTTGTCCTTGTCATTACGGGAACGAGAATCTGTCCGAAACCCACATCTGATCCCGAGTGATTAATACGTCTGTAGCAGTTTGCAGCATTTGCATTGTTAATGAAATAAAGGAGAGATCTAGTTTGGGGGCGTCACATTTGTATATATTTTTTTTTAAAACTGTAGTTATCAGCGTTCACGGCGATTACATGCAGCCGTGCAGATATGGATTTGGTATTCCGGCGCCGTGCGAGGAGTCGAACATACTCCGAGGTGTTGTGATAGTCTCTTAGCTCTTTGGTTGCCTTCCCGAAGACAACTTCAGTATTATCTATTCAACAAACCATTTCTGTTTTGACAATAACAAATGCTTTTAAGTTTTTGTAGCACTGGCATCTAAGAATTTATTTTTTTCTCTCCCCTTTTGAAAGAAGTATTCATCTTCTTTCTCCTTCATTGTTTAGGGAAGATAGAGGCGCAGTTAATGGCTTAACTGTTACTTCAAAAAAAAAAAAGAAGAACCAATTCAGCGCCTGCTTTCTGCTGCCGAGGCTTCATTTGATCTATTAGAAGTCCTCGTCTCAACGTGGCGTTCGAAGGTCGTTTTACCACCTGCAGAGAGAGACAGGGGTCAGTAATAGCTTTGAACCACATCTAAGTATATGCTTTTCATTTTCTCCATAGCCGGGCGATGTCTCTCCCAGGAGCAGTTTTCTACAATTAACATCTCGTGTTGCCTTCAAGCGCCTTATTTTCCGGGGACGAACCTCATCCGGCGTAAATCTCATTTCCAAATTACCAAATTGTTAATTGAAACTCCACAGTTGGTCTTACTGGAAAGCCACCGTGATTGTACGAGACGGACATCGCTCCTCAACTTCCTTCAGCTCTGCAACATGTGGCCGGGGCACTTTATCATGCTGAAGGTTTATCTAAGTGTGGGGGAGAAGTGCTGTGCTGCAGGGAGAGATTGCCTTTACTTGCGCGGCACCAACAGAGCAAAACAATGTGCCGCATGATAAAAAATTGCTTCATAACTCTCACATTGTGTGTCTGGCATCATTATGAGGCACAATAGCCTCTGGAGGGCCCCGGCTTTTATTGGCGTGCCTCTTGCAGCAGCAAAGTCTCATCCATTAAACAAATCAGGGGGTTATGTATTAGATTAGCTGTACAGCAGGCACTGGGGAACGCCGAGAAGAACACATGAAGCCCCGTCTCATTCGCTCTTATAATCCCTGGAATAAATTACCTAATTGACAACATTAGGTTGATACTGTCAGAAGGTGCCTCTTAAAGCGTAATGTATAATGAAAACACACAACGTTGCTAAATTGCATTTTTGGTATTAAAAATGATAAACGGCAGCCATTTGGGGCGTATTTAGAGGGGAAGCCTCTCCTCATAGCGCGCTGCCAGATCTCATTTTTCCATATTTCTTAATAAATTTGCGGTGTCAGTGATATTAAAAGCTCATTTCTGCTGAGGAATATTTAATAAAGCTTCTGTTTGATAGGAAGCCAATGTCAAACAGTGAGTCAGGAAACTAGTTGGTGACAGCTTGAATCGTCCAACCCATCCCAACCCCCCCGCCGAGTCACTCCGCTGCTCCTGTGACCCGGGTGGTGGGAAGTGGGCTGCCCCCCACTGGCGAAGGGTCAGCACTGCAGCAGAGGTTCAAGAAGTGCCCCTCACAGTTCAGTGCACTATTCATTTTGCAGCCAAGGTAACAAAAAAAAAAAAACACAACAGAGCCTTTTGACTTTCTTCAAAGTGAAACTGACTGCATCCCGTTTTTTTTTCTCCAAAGACTGTTGGATCAGGAAAGTTCTGCTCGGTGTTCCAGTTTCAGAAACAGCACCAGAGCGGTACACCTTCCTATTATTACTATGAATGATCTCTGGGGAGGAGTGACCTGCCCATAGCTAAAAGAAGGATGTTTATGGGCTCATACAGGACTTTGATGTAATGGAGAATTAAAAGAAGAAGGTAAACCGCCTCCTCCAGTCATAATAAAGCTAACAACCACTCACTTCCACGAGAGCGTAAACACAATAGTTTTGTCCCTTTTAAGACTCCATATGGACAGAACTTCCTTACAGTTGCTGGTCCCTGTTAAATATAAAATCTAGTATCATAAGTGTGTTTGTGGTTAACATTCATTATGCATATCTGAATGCAAATGTTTTAGCCTTTTACGGCCTCGCTGCATGAATTTAAACTTTATTTACCCGAGAAAACACAATTTAACTCTAAGTAATATACAAAAGTATCGCCCGTATTACTTTGATTTCTTGCCTTTTTTTTCCTAAGACTTCGATTTCACTTTTTGTTTGTGTGTGTCAAGGGAACGTCAGGGTAGGGGACGGTCAGAGTGCAGGATTTGTGTCCAGATGTGCGGACATATTGGAACTCCAGGAGGCGTTCACCCCTCTCCTAGAGTGCAAAAGTAGGCAGCAGCTGGTGAAAGCAATAACCTTTCGTCACATTGTTTCCTGTACCCCCATTATCTTATGGTTATTTTTTCCGTCGCTGCAAAGTCACTGCTTTCAAACTATTACAAATAGCTCAGTGAGCACAATAATATCACGATCTAAACGTTCTGTTTGACTTTTATTCGTATCATTTACACTGAGAGGAGCCATCCCTGGGTGGTGGTGGTGGTGGTGGGGGGGAATGATTATCCTGGATATGGAGAGATATTGCTTTCAATGGTAATGTGGTTCCGATAACTGAAGGGGAAAAAAAATGGAAATCACTGCTTAAGATGCAGCATGAAAAAAAATAAATCAATTGGGTTATAATTTGGCTGTCAGAACACCTTCCTTTATTTGCATGATCATGCTTATGCTGAATCACAGGCTTGTAAAAATGAAATTTGGACAAGAGGAATAAATATTTTGGGCAAAAAAAAATAACAATTCAATCCACAATGAACCTGATAATGAAATCTATTCTCGTTCTTTTGGGCATCACTTCTACCACCAAACACAGTGCTGACAGCTCAGTATTAAATCAGCACCTCCAAAATGAAACTATCTTATCGAATCCGGATAAGATCTTCCAAAAAAAAAAAAAAAAGCGCACAGGAAGCCGCATATAAGTGGGATTCGGCTCTATTTTACTCATTACACCTATAAATCCTCCTGGCAGAATTTATATCAGCTGGGCTCGGTGTGACAGGTGCAGCAGAGCCGACGCACTGAAATTCGGAGGGTTTTGGCATCTCGAGTCGACCAATGGCGGCGCGCGTTAAGTTGTGGCTGGCGGGGTTTGGCCTGATCGTCGGGCACCTGTGCCAATCAGAGCGCACCGGAGGAGGAGTTCGCGGGACTCGGAGGTGTGTCTGAAAGAACGCGAGTCTGCAGCTGCATACTGTATCCAAGTCGGGGAGTAATGGCATGAGTACTGCTTTACACTATTTAGACAAGCTTTTCGGTGCGCACGTTGGAAACTAACATTCGACTATTTCTGCGTCCGTCACGCGTCGGGGCCCGAAGGCACAGAGAGGAGAGGTGAAGGGCGCTCGGACAAACTGTGAACTTAAAGTCAAAAGCGACAAAAGTCCACCCCCCCCTACCCAAAAAAAAAAAAAAAACTCGCACGCTGAAGAGGCGTCAAACGATTCACCCTTTCTGGCTGCTTCAAAGAAGGATACGCTGCTGGACATGTGAATTTAAAAGGAGATACTTGCTAAAGCACAACAATGAAACCAACGACTGCCCTGTGTTGCTTCGGCTTTCTCCTGACTTGCCTCGTGTTTGGGTTCAGCTCTTCACAATCAGGTGAGTGAACGCCAACATGCCTGCTCACCCCCCCGGTGTATGTGTCCGTGGAGCTGGTCAGTGCGCACCGACAACTAACCACTTTTCTATCAGTGTCTTTTTTTTACGCGCGTAGCAAGACTGTTTCATGTTCGGCAGATCCAACATACTGTTGGCATTTTTCACCTCGAGCCTGTAATTCTAAGGGTTTGGAGAAACGTCAGAAAAACAAGAGTCAAAACAGTCTCAGTGAAAATGGGATGACGTACAGATCCCTGTTACTCCGAAGCACAGGTGTTGGTTTGAGCAGATGGCGAGTGGCAGTGCGTCTGTTAAGCCAAACGAATCCAAGCGAGCGACTTGCTCCGTCTTCTTCTTGCACAGAGCGGCACTGTTGAATTTGGAGAGAAAAGGAGAGCATTTGATGTCCATCACACGTGTGCTTTACACAGAGTGGAGCTGGAGAAAAAAAACACGGAGGAGTGACAGCCTCGCTTTACAACGGGTTACTGTGCTCTTGTCCTCGCTCCGGTGGATAGACAGGTTGTCTAATGCGTAACTGTTTCAAAAGTTACTTCTAAACTCTCCTCTTTCTCTCTCCTCAGACGAATGTGTCTCTAGAATGACAATAATGGTGGTGATCATGAGCCGTGGTTGTCTCTGTTTTTATTCATTTCGCTGGTAGGACAGCAGGTTGTTTTTTTATTATCAGCTTTACGCACCACAATCACAGCCGGAATCAAAGACAACCTTCTGTTCCAACTGCTTTAAGTTAAAAGTCCTGCAGGGACCTCTTTTTTTTAGGGGGGGCAGTGTATTTGTGTTGTTGTGTTGTGGTATTGATCTCCTCTCACTCCGTCACCTTTGAAAGCGGTGCCAACAGTGGTGAACATTCATCCATATGCATTCTGTAATCGGGATAAAAGCAAAGCGGATTACCGTGAAATTACATTATTCCTCATTTTCTCGTGAACCCCCCTCGGGGATCCTGTGGACCTCAGTTTGACGAACAGCGTTGCAGCGCGCAGGACTTTCACACCGACGCTGGCAGTACTGTTTGTGTAGTGCAGGGGCGCTCTTTACGCACGGGGAGGTGCGCTATAGGTGCGATGTGTTTGTGTGACAGAGAGAGGAACGGAATGGACAAAAGCAAAACTATCGCATCGTCACCGTGTGTTATCACATTTTAGTCAGGACTAGGACTGAAAAAATCCGACTGTATCGGAGCTGCATGCGACATGTTGACCGTAATTCGCTCCTTTGCGCTTGGAAGTGTTTAAAGTGGTTGTTGTTTGTGGCTGGTGTTAGAAAATAGGACCGTGAATGACACACGTTGTGTATATATAAAATTCTCAGTTTATTTTAGTGGTGAAGCTCATCTATCTGCGGTGGATGAGAGGTGATCTCAGCTCTATTCACTCTGTAGAAAACCTTCATTTTTCCTGTCATCATTTTTAATTTTTGCTGCCAGTTCTGTCTCATTGTATTTTTTAAAGAAGGAAAACTTTTCAAAACATTTCTGCACCTTTTGTTTTAAGGGTGAAAATTCTATATTTTTCACTGCATGGCCTTAGTTTTGATCACAAGATGAACCCATAGGCCCACCACTGTATCAGCGTCTGGTAGAGGCTGGAAGAGAACAGAGGATGATTGAATTAAAGGGTTGGATGCAGTTTAAAGGGCTCAGGTTAGGGATGGATCCCCCCGTTGTTTTACACTCATCACTGCCTCTGTTACGCACAGACGTAAATAAATATTCATAACTCTTATTGTTAAAAAAATAAAAAGAAGAAGAAGCAAGCTTTTGTTTGCTGCTGTTTCACCTGGTAAAGGAGAGAAAGAGGAACGTTAGTCCCCCTTCCTTACTCTCTCTCTCCATTTATTCCACTCGTCTTTGGCTAAATTTATTTTTTATTATTAGTCTTAAGCAAGCTGCGTATCAGGAAAAAAACCCACATTTATTTCATGAGAACAGAGCTACCTCACAGGCTTGTGTGTGGGAGAATCCAGCATGAAGATGACGCTGGTAATTCACTTCCATACGCAGGTTTTAACGATCATTCACCGGTAGAGCTCCAAATCGTGTGTTAATGTATTTGGAACTTAAAGGAACACAAAAGACAGGCGCAGACTAACACGGGGGGGAAGCGGATTATACAAATATCAGAGTGAGAATTTGGTTTAAACGCGGATTAAGTTCCGTCTGTGAGAGGCGCGGTGATGAAATATGTGTGCGCTTTTGCGCGCGAACGAGTTGTCTGCGCATATTGGGATCGCTTTTGTGCGCGCGCTGCGTAGCCAGGGGGGCTGCATGAGTAAAGAAAAAATATGCAAAGATGTGCACGTATGCACGCTCACAATTGCTTTTTCATAAGGTTCTTCAATGACAGCTTGTGTCTCCCTTAATGAGTCATAAGAATGAAATTATGTAAAATGCACCATTTGTTGATTTTTTTTTTTTTTCAGCTGGTGGATTCTCAGCCACCTTTTCTTTTTTTCAGGATTTTTTTGGTTTATTGCTGAACATCTTAGCTTGTCTTCTACTTCCCTGGAGTTAATAGGTTTTCAGATGACAGCAGGGTACATGTCTGCAATATGCTGAGTGTGCCCCAGTGAGTCCCTGCACTGCACTCTGCTCTTCATTTGACTGCAGCTATACACTGAAGCTGGGGGGGAGTTTGGGAATGCATACAGCTGCCGATACTGAACCATATGGCCACATCCCAAAATTCTATCTGTCTTTATGAATATTCATGTATTGTGCGAGTGCAGCCGTTTGTTGAATGGGAATGTGTGCGTTGAGGGTTTCTCAGTGAGTGTAATCACTTCATTGCACATAAACTCCTTAAATGACCCTGTTTGAACAGCTTTCAGCAGCATCTTGTTTCCTAATTCGAAGGGCTGATTCAGAAGTGTTGATGGGAAAAAAAAATTTAATGAATGAAGAATAGTTTGGTGGCTACACCCTCGGCTTTTTATCTTATAGCAGCACCCACAGTTTATTGGATTGGGGTTGACAGTGGTGTCCCAGTCAGTGAGGAGCTGATATGTGAGTTCACAGTATATCAAAATGTTTACAAGGGGATGAGCGAGGCACAGAGAGGGACTCGGCGAAAAGTGGGAGGCATTAGATTTTGTTATTTCTCTTCTTTTTCTTGAGTATTTGTGCTCGCGCCACATGGAGTGACACTTCTTGTACACTTATCTTCATTGTGTTTTTTTTGGCTCCCAGAACGAAGCATAAGGAAAGAATGGTGTCACATTTGGTAGCCCACACAGCTCGGCGTCGCCACAAAGCCCTCTTACAGTCATATCTGCTGTCGCCTGTTAAAAGGAGCTTTGACCCTCCACCGCCACCAGGCTTTTTTAATAGAAGAATGGCGGTCTTTGATTAGGTGGTGATCCACTTCCATTTGTTGGAAAAAAAAAGGAATGTGAACCTCTGTGCTTTTGTCCCCACTGTCTCAGTGCTGGTGAGAGATGAGGAGCAACATAAGGTCATCGACCCGCCACCAAGACGTTTCTGTATTCACGTTCTTGCTTTCCAACACGGCTGAGATTACTTAACCCGCACCTGATGATGGGCTGTTGTAAGCTGCTAGATCTTTTGTTGAGTGTTTCTGGTGAGCTGTTGTCCTCTCTGTGACGGTGATGAAAAGTAAAAGGCAGGCGATGGTTTATTGTGTTTTTACCCTCCTGGGGGTTTCATCCTGCAGCCAGATGGAGAATAAAACTTGTGTTTGTGTAATCTAGATTGGATTCAATATGAGAGGAGTGGAAACCATTAAGTTTCCTAAAAATCTCTTCTTCTGTTCCAACAAAAAAACACTATTTTTGAAGCACTGGTATCAATAATACATGTGTTGCACCCACAGTGTTACCCAGGAATCCCTGTGAAAAATCTTTGTAATATTCCACTGAGGACCTGAAGTGTGTTCGCTGTTTTCTACTCAATATGACCTTATACTTTGTTTTTTTCCTCATTCTGCTGCAATGTGACTGTAATATTCTTTAATTACTACCAGTAGGACGTCGAGCTCGTGTTCCAAAATGCATCCTGTTTCCATGGTTTTCTATGAGATTTTTTATTCCTGAACTAGAGGCATTGTTTTCCAGTTTGACTTGTTGATGGCCTCATAACCAGTCCGAATGTCTGCAGCCAGCAGAAATGATTGGATCATATCCTCGGTGACCTTTACCAACCCCGCGCGCTCGTTTATCACCTGCAGTTATAAATGCACCACACGTGCATGTGTTCTGCCATGTATCACCGTCAGCTCGGGCTAACGAACGTCCCGTTAGCGACGGATGTCATAATTGGATTGGGGGAGTCACCAATAGCCTCCACATGCTTAATTCCGACCAGCTGTTTGTCACACGTGTGTATTTAAAATGCAAATTCCATGTTGGATGCGCGGCTCACATTGGTGCAGACGTGACTAGAAGGTGTTTTGAAATTGGAATGCTTGTTTCCTGTTTATCACTCACTTCCCTCTGTGTTTTCTCTACTTTTATGGTTTCTCTTTTTTGCTCTCTGTAAATTGAGCGAGCTTTGAGTTTTTTTTTTTTTTTGGTGTGTGTTTGTGAGGGAGAGAATGAAAGGGAAGAGAGCAGGAGAGAGACACACACAAATAGAAATACTGATGGCCTGTGTGCGACACAGGCCCTGAGTGCTGAATACACAGCAGCCGCAGTCCTTCGTTAACAAGGTAGCGCAACAAACACTCATATACACAAATACCGGCGAGGTCCTGCTTGATATCTTTGACAATATACTACAGCTAGTTTAGACAGATTGGGGACTGAGGTTTAGTAGCAGGGAAATCAGTCAGCTGTGCTTTAATTAGGTTGGCAAATGTGTGTTTAGGGCCACCGAGAAGAGCTTGCAGTGGAAAAACAATCAAATTCTCAGTGCTTCTGCTTCCCGTTCAGTCTTCCTGACTGTGCTGCAATGTGATCAACGGCACTCCAAGAAAAGAGGCCAAATGATGCAACGTCGCGCACAGTGCAGACACGTGTCA